AGTAACAAGTTTTATTACTTTTGCATTGATATTTTTTGCATATAGATAGTAATGATCGATAAGTATTAATAGTAATTGTTTTGTTTAATATATCGTAAAAATAATTTATTAAAAATGTGTCTGTGCCGCAACATATTTAATATAAATATTACATTAATTACAGTGCATTTTTAAATATAAAATGCGATGATCCTTTACGTAGCACGTTGAAAATCAATGAAAAGATAAATTGAATAGTATTTATCTTATACTTCATATGCGTGTAAAATCTATAACAATAATAACACATTTAAGAAAGACGTTGTTTAACAACTTTCGTAAGATGAAAAGGACTACCAATTATACCATTAAAGTAAAATATTATGGTAATCCAAGATGTATCAAATAATTCGATGCATATAAATAATGTTTTATTTAATTTGCTTTAAGTATCCTCTGTCTTTTAGGAGGTCGTCCAGCGCCTCCTGAGTATAGTACACAACAAAATCGTTTGATGCAACACCCTCAAATACGGCATATACTGAGGGCTTTAGATTGTAGAAAAAGAGTGGTTGACCTCTCGATGCAAAATCTTTTGTCAAAGTTTCTATTACTGTAGCTGCAGTAAAATCAGCTCCATAAATATGAGAACAATCAATTACAACTGGGGTTGCTACATTTCCAGCTCGTAGACTGTATTTCGTTACTAAGTTTCGAACATAATCTACCGATGGAAATATTAAGCATCTATCTGGAGTTAACATGAGATAGTGAATGCCGTGTCGAGTCTGCAACATAAAAATATAATATTGTTAGATTCAGCATAATATTAGAAAGATTTATGAATTTTAAACAATAAAAAAGAAAACTAAAGAAAGTTATAAATTTTTCAAATTACTATTGTTTAAAATATTGCTATTAACGAAAATACATACGGTAAGCTTTTCTACAGATATTTTTGGCCGCGCTGCATGATATAAAATGAATAAAATATTTATTCCGATACCACACAGAATACCAATTTCTAATTGTAACACTAAACACGCAATAAACGTTCCCAATCCGGGTATTAAGTCTGATTCTGTAAAAAAAATGTTTAAAAAAGTATTAAATTTTTCAGTCGTTAATTACTGCTGCTATGATAATTGCTGCTAATGTTGTCCTTGGGATGTAGCTAAAGTATGGTGTGAGGTAACAAAGGGCTAATATTACTAAAGTACCTAAAACAAACGATGAACTTTCATAAAAAAAAACCTATAAATTATTAATTGTTAATCTTATACGTAGATCATAATTAAAACATGAATTGTGTAACAATATATTATTATTTTACCAGTGTAAATGCCTCCCATTGGTGTTCTAACTCCAGAAGCATTGTTTACAGCGCTTCTACTGAGAGATCCTGTACCAGGAAAAGCCTGAACAAAAGAATTACCAATGTTTGATATTCCAATTGCTATTAATTCTTGTGTTGCATCAACTGATTTTCCAGTTGCTGAAATAAATACGAAATCTTTTCCTTTTCTTGCGTATAACAAAATAATATCGATATTTCGTTAAATATATATTTATAATAAATAAAATTAAATATTATTAACTTACAGAAGGCTTTGCAAATGGCAATATCTTCCATTAGTGAAATAAGTGGTAAAACAAGAATACCACTTCCCAAATTTGAAACCATGTCAATAAATGTCACTGTTGTATTATCATCTTTGGTATAACCGAATGGCGGTAACTGTACACTTGGCATACCTTCCGGTATATATCCTACGCGAAAAAAAAAATTAATTTATTTAACAATAATATACATTAAATATACAGTAAGGAATATATTGTACTTGTATAAGTAAATAAACAAATTATTGTCCCAATTTCTTCTTTTAACATTTTTCATTATGAAAATATTAATTCGATTTTATTATTCTTACCAACCACTTTGAAGGGAGATCCTTCCTTAAAAGTATATCCCAAAAAGCCACATAATATCACTAAAAGTGCATTTCGTGACGTACCAATTAACCAAATTAGTTTATTTATAACGCGATATCTTTTACTTTGTAATTCGACATCTTTCGGACCTATACTGTATGTTGATAGGAGCTGTAAAGCAAAAAAAAGCAAAAACAAATGAATACATATATATATATCAAAGCAGTGATTTTATACGAAATGCTAAGAAAATACACACTGAACAATATTCTTCAATGTATAATTCTCTAATACAACGATTTATTTACCCTGAGAAATAAAAGAAGTGCTATGCAAGATGCTCCAAGTGCAGCATCCCAGGCTGAAGTCTCGTGCACACGTTCGACAATACTTTTCCACATTTCAAGAAATTGCGATCCTTTTGCAGGTATACCAAGTATATCTTTTATCTGCGAAGTGACAATCACCAATGCTACTGCTGATGTAAACCCAGAGCTGACTGGTCCAGACACAAAATCAATTAAAAATCCTGAAACATATGATTTAACAAAAATGGTGTTATTATATTTAACAATAAGACATATCTTAAGTTTCCTTGAAACACTTCTTCTATTTTATATTACAAACAGACAATTAAGATTCTTGACATTTACCAAGACCAAATATGCCCATTACTAGTTCTATTACTCCAGCCAAGAAAGAAAGAAGTATTGCATGTTTCAGTGGTGCATTTAAATGTGAAATTGTTTGATATGTGATCAGAGAAGTGATGGCACTGGGTCCCATTGGTATGTCTTTACAAGATCCAAATATGATATAAAGAAAGCAGCCCAAAAAGCTACCATATAGTCCATACTGTGAAAATAAAATATTTCTTCTTAATGAAATGTCACTTTCAGCTTGTATCTGTTAGGAAAAATGATTATGCAGAAATACTTATTTGATAACACTAACTTGAGGTGGTAAATCAGCTACATTAGCATAGGCTAACGACTGCGGGATAACTGTAAGACCTACGGTAACACCGGCAACGAGATCGCCAATTGCATCTTGACCATTATACCTCGGTAACCAATTTAAAATTGGTATCCTCTTGAGAATTGTTTTCTTTGTGCAAATCGACCTGCAACGTCGTCTGGCATAGTGTAACATTGAATTTACAAAACTGTCCTTGTGCTGGATCCCATAATCACTAGGTTCCTCCACCACTGTGAAAAACAAAGTTATTCAACATTCTTTCGTCGTCCATTTAAGAAAACCTACAATTCCGCACTGATTGTAAACAAATTAATCAATCGTTGATCTATGACCATCGAAACAGAATTGACGAGTCATCTTGTTTTCAGATCGGGAATCATTAATTAAGATCACGTTGTCAAAGTTAGAATGGGAACAAGTTAAATGCACGACAATTACGGAAATTACGAAAATTCGAGAAAAAAAATTGCAGATTCTTCGGTTTTTTCTTTTTTTCTTTTGTAACTTATCGTAATAATTTATCGCTGAAGAGAGAAGAACAGAATTGCAGCAATTAGCGATTCAATCTTGAATGATGAAAAATAACTGGAGTGTTTCATTATCCGATCGATGAATTGAATTATGGCTTATCGAGTGTTAATTAGCCACGCTGGTGTATACTTACGAATGAAGTCAGAAGAGCCTTGTATCCCTTGATGGCTCCCATATGAATTATGCAGATTATGAGAATTGTTCGAATTACTTAGATTCAAACTATCCCCGGATTCGCTCAAAGCATGATTCACGTATACTTCTGTTCTATTATCTTGATTTGCACCCTCCGTACCGTTCGTTTTGTTCATCCTGAAAATCCAACTGCTCCGAAAAATATTCGAACACTGTCAAAGCAACCATTAAGCACCTGCAAGCAAAATAGTATTTTAGTACGAATATGAATAATAGGAACATTGTTATGCTCATTTTTACTAAGAGTCTGAATATTAGTGTAACACAGTAATTGGACATAATTTCGACCAATTCGTATTACAATGTTTCATACGCAATTGCGTTAAAGAATTCCTAAAGATACCTACAAAATTGACAAATTTATAATATGCGATAAATGACGTTTCGTGGCGAAGAAAACATCAACCTTTCGTAATAAACCGAAGTGTGAGCCACTCAGAAGCTAAAATGATTTTTCATATTCTTTCCAATTTTAGTATCAAAGTGCATTCTTCATATTCTTCGGTTAATTCTTCATAAATGAAAAATGTTTAATAAATTTTATCTCGCGGAGTTAGTCACTTTGGTTTCCGAGTGGCTCATATATCACTGGAAAGACAAGCTTACGTAGCGTCCGAATATTTTTGGAAACAACAATCGTCACAAGTTGCTACAATATATTTTTACTAGCAAAATTTCAATTTTACCATATTTATCCGGTAAACCGAACGATGTTTACACTTCACAGTTATTCAAACTGAGCGTTTCTCAGTGAGAAAACTTGACTTTTCCTATTCGCGTCGCAAAATTTAAGAGGTATAACCACAGTTCAAACAAATCGTGCGTCACTATGTTCCCAAATTGGGACAATACATTATTTGACGCTCGGCAATGACGTTCGTTCGAGTAAATTCGTTAGAGAACTCTTTGCATACGTGCTTTTCTGCACGAGCTTTATACGTTTCTATTGGGCCGTATTTAGTTCAACGGATCGACTGGGCGATTTAAAAGAATGTAAACAATAAAATAGAGCTTCGTTGGCTAATTGATAAGGAACGATTGATTGATAATGAGGAGAAGAAGAACAAGAAGCGAGTCTGATGAATTTATTGGAAATTTTAATAATGGAAATTAAAAGCCTCCTCACATGTGATTCCCATTTGAAAACACTTTTTCTTTTGCTCTTTTTGTAATTATTCAATTAATCGCGTTACGACATCCAAGCGAGTCATATGAATGGCTTAATTAACGATACGTTATGTTTGTCAGATGAATTACGATCTACGATATTGTACGCGAAATAGTCCGTTTACCCAGGTTCACGTTGATCGTGGTAAATATTTGATCGATAAAGTTATTTCATTGAAATTTGCGCTATGTATGTAGTATTATGTAATTCAGAGAATTTGTACGTCTCTCATTTGCTAAAAAGTATATTTACGTTCTCTAAACATAGTTACAAATATATTCATAACTCGCGTTGTATTCTTTATTTAACGTGTAGGAAATGAGATTAGGAAAATGGGAAAAACAAACTTTGCACAATTCATCGGCGAAAATTTCGAGAAAATGTTGAACATTCGGTCGAATTGGGTCTGACGATAAGAATTTAGTTTAAGTTCAATTCTTTCTCTATTTTCCATTCGAGCGGAGGCTCGAAGAGTATTTTGCAGAAAGAATTATTGACAAGTTACAAATATTAAGAAAGTTAATGAAAAGTGATCGCTTTATAAAGTGCACGAAAAATTTTGAACGCGTGTTTTAAGACTATCTGAGAGACAATATTTTTCAATTCGCGACTTCTTTTTCGGAGAATCGAATTTGGAGAGTTTGGAGAATTTAGAGAAACGAATCTAGAGAATTTAAAGAATTGAATTTAGGGAGTTTGGAGAATTTGGAGAATCGAAATTAGAGAATTTGGAGAATTAAATTCAGAGAATCGTTTCTTTCAGAATTTGGAGAATCGAATACCCCCGTGAAACTACATACTTGAGAGAAAGCATCTTTCAATTCACAACTCCACCGTTTCAGAGAATCGAATGTTTCCTGTTCCCCAATTCGATACCTAACAAATTTCAATCAACAGCCACATCGTTACTTTAATTTCTCACTCTCGTATCTAGTATCTCTATCAGATATCCATCGTAACCACAGGATACGCAAGCTGCATATCTTAAGGAGCATCAAACGTATTCCCTATACTTATCTCAAAATATCAAGCAAACTCGTTCTCTATCCTTTTTATTCAAGAATTTACGTTCGTGCCGATTGCTCAAATTTCTTTTCGTTAAAAAAAGCAAAGAAAAAAAGAAAAGACATTTAAACGCGTATGCTGACTCAGGGAAAACTCGACGAAAGTTGCTGAAAGTGGGAAGAATTTTGCAATCCGGACCTGTTAATCCGCCCTTCACATTCTAGAATTGCCACGGTTGGTCATGATATCGCACCTTTATTATTTCCAATCAGCCAGGTGAAGTGTGACAAGAAGAGAAAGAGAGAGAAAGAGAGAGAGAGAGAGGAAAAAAAAGGCGCGTTACTACGAGACCGCGTGTGGTCACATGATTCGCTCATGCAACCGGTCATTCTGTACCGTCACGTGCTTCTGAATCAACTCTGTCACGAGGTTCTCCGCGACCGCTGTCTCCTAACAACGCGATATGTAGTACGAACAGCGTTCCCGCAAATTAATTCATCCACAAACATTGTTTTTCATGCAAATCACGATGCGGTTTGTGCAGATCGCGATTGCACCGAGGCTCATTTCAATTTTTACCCGTAAATTATGTACGTCATATGTTAATAGGTTCAACTGGATCTGTTACTGTTGCCTTGAAAATCTGAATGTATATAAAAGCCATAAGATAATTATGGACCAGGTTTTATAAGTATTGGATCATCTCGTAAGTTCGTGCCGAATGCGAAGAGTATTTTAATGAAAATCCAAGGAAATTCTGTAGGCGACGACGTTATGGTCTCACGAAAAAAAGGAAATAAGAAAAAGACACGGAACGAGAAGGTGTTTACGGTTTTTCTAATCTTTAAAGATCGGTTGGAAATATTGATCTAAATTGGGATGACTGAAATATCAGGACTCTTACCGAATGCGAAGTAAATCTGCCGTTATTAAAAAATTATTAAGATTCTAAGAGAAAGTTTAATTTAATGAAAATTAATACTAACTTTAGCGAATGAATGTAACTTAAATCATATATAATGGGTGTCTTAATATTTATGAACTGCAGTATGACATATATGCATATATACACTACCAACTTAAAGTTTCGAATCACCTGCCGATTTACATCGATACTGAACATCTGTTACCGCTTCTTTATAGATTCGAAATTAATATTCTGGAGATCAGTAGCAATTTACCTCATCTCGATTGATTCGTATGAATTCGTTCGAAAATTCTTAAAATTGCCAATTTTTCTCTGGAAAGTCTCCCATTGATCCCAAACTTTCGACCGATAATTGTATATGCATGTGTATATATGTACATATAGACACATATACACACACAACAGCATAAATACATACATTCTCTCATCGGCGATTATGGAAAACTATGCGATACATGTTATCAGGCTGGTTTTCACCTCGAAACACTTCTGCGCAGAAGTAGGCAGTAGTTCTCGGTAATTCGCGTTTAACAATAAAAAAAGTCCCGGATACTCAACGATCTACAGGTGAAAAGATGGATATCGAGGATTTGACACTGTCGAAAAGATTAATCTCCGTGGACAAATGATACAGTGACGGATATCTCTTCAGTCATGGTCGATTTTCGTTTCGTGGAACAGAGTTGTTCGCGAGAAGTAATGCTTTTCAGGTGTTAATGTACCATGAAGGAAAATGCATAATTAAGGAGGGAACAGGTTGGTAATGTGTTCTCTTGTCGATGTAGATTTACATTGATACGTGAAAAAGATACCTTTTTTAAGCGAGATATACATACCCAATAGAATAAATTACTACACGCGTCGCAATTAAACATTCCAGAATCGTGGAAATACTTATCGATCCGATGTAAACCAACCATCCAGGCAATTATGTTTACGTCGTATATTTTATTATTACATATATCATCGCGTTCGTTACATGGTGAATTTAAGTGGATATACGCAGTGATAAATGTTCCGTGATTCTGTCTTAAGATCTAGATCTTCCAATGTCTCCAAGGCTTACTCGCGAATTCTTTGCTCCGCACAGTTAAAAGATCTAGATCTACAGGCTAAAGTGGTTGCTGGAATGTTCTTTGAAACGCGTTCGAAAAAAAAAAAAGAAGTTTTTCTACGCTCTTTGTTATTTCTCATTCACGTGGTACGCGTGCATTGTTACACCGTTCCCCCTCGAGCCTGTCCCATTATCCTCTCGTTATTATTACACCGTAACGAAATTTCTCGTACGAGCAATTTTTTCATGCGAAATTTTTACCACGCGACGGAACACAGTGGGGGAGAGGAGGCCATTTGGCGTACGATGAAAAGAACCGGAACGGTCTTAATTGCGGGTGTCATACGTCGAGGTAAATAACGTTGTCAAGGATCAATGTGCATGTAATGGCAATAATAACGAATGCATCCGGCGGTGTTCTTTCTTTTGTAAATAAGCTGCAATTTCATCGCGTCGCCGTTCCATCCTTTGACTGATACAGAGATCCAGTGGAGCGTACAATAGGAGTTAATATGCGTTATTCCGCGGCACGTGCGCCTAGACATCTTACTTAAACGCTTAGTTGCAGTCGATTAAAAGGAGCTGTAAATACAGCAATAAAGACGCGATCACGAAATTAAGGAAATAATTTTTTCTCTATTTTTTCGCAACGATTTTTTTTCTCTTCAATTTTCCTAAGATTTCTCTCTCGAAATTTCCTCAATTTTTCTCTTTGTCAGTTGATCGATAACGGGGAACTTGGATCTCGAGATAAAGATACGTTCGCGAAATAAGGGATATATATTTTTTAAACAGATTTCTTCTTCAAATTTTCCCAATATATCTCTTTTTTACAATTTCCCAAATTTTTCTCCGAGACTCCGTTAACTTGCTCTCTGAATTGATCGATAACGAGGAACTTGGATCTCGAAATGAAGATGCGTTCGTAAAATGGGGGAAATAATTTTTTCTCAATATTTCTCAACGATTTTTTTTTTGATTTTCCTAATATTTCTTTTTCAAAATTTTCTTCGAGACTTCGTTGACTTACTCTCCGAATTGATCCATGACGAGGAGCTTAGATCTCGATTCGATGACAGAGAATGTTATCGAAATTGATTAAAAAGAAGATTTAATGTGTTTTTATGAAACGAAATAGTGATTTCAGTGTGAAAAAATGAAATTCGAGATGTTCCTATTTCGATGATATATTTTCCTTGTGTATTAATGATACACCAAAGTTGACCATTCGATCAGCATCGATTGGTTTAGCATTAAATGATATTAATTGTGACAGTTATTGTTGATATAACCCAATAATTTAGGATTTAAGAGCAATAAGAACTGCATCATGATAGCGGGACTATTGTAGAGACAATCAATCAATGGCCGTGCCGTTGAATGTTGAACTTGATCTGTATACCACTTCGATAACAATGATCCAGTTAATAATGACAAATTTTAAATGTAGAATAAAGAACGTCATATCTGATGAACAAAGCAAATCTTACAAATATAAAGAGTTGCATCTACCTTTCTCACCGTTTCATATTGTACAATGAGATCAATTTCAAGATTTTCGATATTAACGATCTATGTAGTTAATAATGAAAAATGTTAAGTGTACGATAAAGGACATAGTAATCTCATCGATAAAACACACATTAGAAATATAAAAAGTTGCATCTACTCTTTTTTAAAGATTTGTAATCAATGGAAATATTTTCGACGGTAATGATCTATTTAGTTGATAAAGAAAAATTTCGAGTGTAGAACAAAGGACGTCGTATCTGAGGAATAAAATAAAAGTGCAAATGTGATAATTAATTGAAAGATTTTCAACGTCGTAAACGGTTGATAGATTAGCAAATAAATCAATATTTCGCTACTATTCACTAAATTGCGTGTGCAAAGTTGTAATCATCAAATTATCAGGTAATTATCGTGTGTTCTTGCTTGAAAGAAGAAAAAACAGTTGTGCTAATCGAGGTTACAAAAGAACAAAAATAGCAACACTTTACTCAAACGTTAACTGTTTAACAAGTTCATTTGTACACACGTAAGCTGATAAATGCTACGCTTTGTAATTAGATCGCGTAAACCTTTCGTTAAATTGCTCATTCTTTGTGAAATTCTTTACTAGACAATTTAGGCAGTTCTCAAGGTACCGGTAGATAAATACGTTTCGGTAAAATTTCGACAGTATTTACATGTCACCGTAGAAGAACGATACAAAAGTTTTGTTTGTCATTAAGAGAGCCCAGATTTAGTAAAGATAATTAATTGAAGTGATTGTGACACGGTAACATTCAATATTTACCTTTTCACATGTGACCAACATATTTCACGGACGATTACAAAACACTGAAATCAAAGAATTTTTTTTATCTAATCTAACTTCGTCTAATCTTTTCTCTCCCTTGTGTGTATTATTTTTTTTCTTTTTTTTTTTTAGTGTTTCGGGGTTATCGTTAGTGTCCTAGGATTACACCTGCCTAGGTACAATAATTGGGTATACATAATTTAGAAACGTTAAATTCGTCAGCGATATTATTTTTAAAGAGAATTTTCTAAACTGTATACGCTGCACGTTAAATTAAAACTGACGATGTAATTCTTCAACTATACTCGTACGGATATAGCTCTGTGTTTTAAATGTACAATAACGACGATTTATTAAAAAGCAATGTATCAATTTACTTTATAACATCGTTATACAATTTCATCTAAGACAATATTTTGCACGAAAACACATTACATCTTTCAAATTACTTAATACCCAAGCGTGCACATAACGTAATTGAAATTCTCTGTCATTGGAACACGTGTCTAGCACAAACTATATTAAGCAGAACCGATCAGAACCGGTTTTTTTGTTGTACTTTTGAACACATTTATGTCTGTATATAAAAAGCTCTCGACTGATACAATTCACTTTAATGCCATCTGGAAACCGTACAACTATATTCTACACACGTTAAATTCCATCAAAATTCCTCGTGACACAAACAATCGCACAAAATTCACGAAATATATACACAGAATAATAATATTCAAGTTCGTTGTAACGCTTATCAGTGTATATACCGTTGTTCTTCGCCTGAAAGTGTAACAGGAAAGTCGAGAAAATATCCAGGATAGTATTACAAAACTCACCTAAACTGCTACGTTGTAAATGATACGATCGGTTTGCTCAGTTTGTCACTGCGTCTTCGAGTGCCGGTTCGAAGGATCGAAGGTGAATTTTCTGATCTCGCGACGTACAGTCAAATAGATCGAGCAACGAACGTTACTTGTTCTTGCATCCGCGACACATCATATCTGAGCGGCAAACGTTGAAACGAAAAGCAATTAATCTCCGTGTGTAAATGGAAAATCATATGTGCGAGATCGTTCTTGTAACTTGTGTATATTACACGATCGATCCCGGTCTAGCTTCGTGGAAAATCGACTGGGCACGTTGCCTGGACACTTGTCGGTGATAATAGAAGGTAAGGGAGTGATCGTAAGGGCGGCACACAAGCGGAAAAAAAACGCGAAATAGAATCCGGTTTCGACAAGTCAACGGCGAAACTGAATCCACAGCAATACGCGACCGGCCATTTAAATGCGTCGTGCTTCTTCGACAGTTTGTGCCGTAACTTCTTCTCCCCTTCTCCTTTGGCCGTCTTTAAGGCAATAACGTCACTGGAGAACAATCCAATAGGAGGCATAAGGACTCTGCAACGGGGCCTACTCCTCGTCGTTTCTCTCGGCAATATCGCACATCGAAATTCCATCGATCGTCGGCGTTGCTCACCCCGAAGCTTAACTTACGAATCAAGGTTTGTCGTTAATTAACGACGGACGATTGTGTGTAAGTTGACAATCTCGATGGGAGGTGGCTTTTGTCTGGAAGAGGGAAACAAAGAAAGGGTAAATGGAAATGCAAATTTTCATAATTCGACGAAGAAATTTTTATAATAGTTTACTTTGCAAATCTTCGAATGAAATTCTTCGTATCGACGTTTTATTAAAAATCCGTAACTTTGAGATATCTGCAAAGAAACAACTGAAATTATACCATTTAACAAGAACAATGTCGTAATTCAAAACAGAGCTGTTTTAATATCCTTTTAAATAGCAAGAGATACACATAAATAATATTTTATTACAAACCTTCAAAATACAAATTATTAGCTAAATTGTGAAAAAAGAATTCATTGCTAAATGCTTGAGTAATTAATAACTTTCCAGTATAAAAAATTCCAGACTGATTTCCTGAAAAATTTACTTATGTTAGTTGTGTCAAGACTATTAGTTAAATTGTAAAAGAAGAAATATTTTTTCATTACTAAACGATCGAGTAATTGATAACATTTTACCACAGAAAATTCCAAACTGATTTGCTGAAAAATGGAGTTTTGCTGTTGTGTCACTCTTCTAGCAAACCGACGATACAACAAGTACGAACGTATTTTATCCAGATTTTTTAATCTAGATATATATGTCGAAACAAAGTCCGTATGTATTATGTTATCTCTCTGTGGAGTAATCCCTTAGGGAGCAGTGGACAATGTGTTTTTTATCTTTCATTGATCCGTTCGTAAGTTTGAGAGTAAATCGTGTCTCGTGCATGTACACATGATCGAATAGTTACCTTTATGGATGCGGGGATTACTTGTTGCATTACTGTTTATGGCGGTATTAACAGTTTTTAGTGTTTGCCAATGAGAGAATCGAACATCAAAGCTTTCTAGGCGTTATCTATAAAAAAATTTTGAAAATTCTAAATCGATCAAGTTATCTGTATTCGTAATTGTGAAAGATAGACGAGCAATGTTTGTCTTCAGCAACGGTGTACTTGCTCGAAAATATACACTCTATTTATTCAAGGCTTATTACTTTTAAAAAAATCACTTCATGTGACGCGCGTGATGGCTTTTGCCATTCCTTAGATTACGATAGATATTCGCCGCTGGATTCGTCGTTTTCAAAACATTACGAAAATACAGTGAAACACTTTCGAGTATAAAAATCATCGAAAAATGAGGAATCTGAAAATGTATCGTAAAAATTAAAAATTATAATATCAATAGATGTAAAGTATATTTAAAAATATTTTACAATGATGTATCAAACGATTAAAAAGTACATATTCGTTTATATTATCTTCAAAATTTTTGGAATGTTTACCTTAAACAAGAAAACACGAAAATGCATGCATGATGAAAGCATTACGTAACAACTGTTACTTTCAAGGTGGAAAATGCGTGTTAGTATCATTATTTTATAACACTGATAAGTTCCTCCTGTTACCGTCTGGATTAGAGGTCTGGAAAATAGCAAGGTTACATGTCCTACAAATCTACAGTCCTATTTACATATTTACATAAAATTTGAAAAAAGAAAAGAAAGATGCAGAGATCCTCCAGCTGTTGTAAGTTATGCCGGTATTTCCATGGAATACCGTAGTAGGGATTAAGGGGAAATTAATGCCGTGTGTAAAGGTCTTGCGCCCATAGATAAAGAGATAAAAACCTGCAATCGCACGTAGGATAGAACGAGTAAAAAACTAAATTGTTCGTTTAGATGTTTTATGCGAAAAAAGGGTAACTATAACGTAAACGGATGTGAAAGATAAAAGTAATAAAATTTTTTAAACGTCAATTTCAAGATCGCTAGATACGCGAAATTATAGAGAGGAAAGTGTAAAAAAGATTTCAATTACTTCAATAATGACATTCGTGGCAGCATTAAAAACTAATTATTCAAAATATGAAGTAAAAATAAAATATAATGCTTCTATATAATGCTTGTTTGTATTCATAATACAGTTTTTGTCACGATACAACTTATGTACAACACGTTATAACAGTTCACCGAGGAATACTAAAAACGGAAACCGTGTATTGCTCAACATACTATGATTTATACGCCAGTAGTCAAAGAATAGTCCCGCTGAATTTAAAAATAAAAGTTTTGATCCCGTTGTCTGTCAGAAACACTTCCTGCTTTTTTATTTATGGTACGTAAGTACGTTTAACACAGCAAAAATCAGTGAAACAGACGATCGAGTTTAATAACAGGTGGTTTTATTACGGATTAAGTTTCTTAATAACCTATTTCATGATGTTTATTTTGAACCTAGGATTTTGATAATACCTTCGATCCAAAAATTGAGATGCAGATTTAAATAACATAAAGCTTGGTACGTAATAATATATAGGAACGCAAAATTACAATTATTAAAGTATGAAAAAAATAGTAAATTAATATTAAGAAATTATTATTTTATACAGCATCAACCACCTTCATTTAATCCATATTTCTTTATTTTTCTTGTGAGAAGAATAAAAATAGTTGTATGCTTGAAACAGTTAAATTGAATAAGAATACAAGGGATAACAGAGAAATGAATTAGTAAATAATGATTATAAAAGTACTAAGTACTTTTAAAGTTGATGGGAGGAGGAAAGATAGATAAGGAAATAGGATTGTCAGCTGTCATTTTTTTTTCCATACAATCCATGCTTTTGCTTTCCTAAATAAATACATAAAAATCCTGTTAATAACTTATTCATTATCTGCAAATTCCAAGATTTTAGACAAAATTTCTTGAATGATACAGATAAAGGAAGTCTCTAAAATAACAGAATGCGACGATCTCATATAATCCAGTGAAAATGGCATTATTATTCTCAATACTTTTGATATACAATAATAATCATTATTAATTAATTAGGTACAGGAACACTTTATCATTCGTGGTATTAATTAAAGATAATCAATTACATACAATAAATTGTTATCAGCCACGGTGCATCGCCTCCAGCCTCGGCGTCATCGATTTTATTTTCAATGTAGATACTACATTTCTTCGTCTTCGTTCCGTCAAAAGTTTTAAAAATCAGTTGTTTAGGAAGCGAGCGCCTACGACTATTAAGAATCGAACCAGTATGCGAAGGCCATTCGAGAAGATTCAATCATTCGATTCGATTCAAACGTTCGATTTTTTTCTTTTTTTTTATGTTCTCGTTATAATTTATTTCCTAACAGAATCATTAAAGACAGATAGAGAAAAGAAATAAGAATGATTCGTAATATTATCGACGAAAATGAGATATCGAAACGCAAACGTTTAGAAAAGTAACGATGCTGATAATGTTCTTTAGCGTTATAACGATTACTAATGATTAAGCTTCCAGAGACTACGATGAAGTTTGGAAAAAAATATATACAAAACGCTCGATGTATCAAATTTATCCTCTCGATATTAGACCCGCTGGTCTCCAATTTAATAAGTATCTCTTAACCATTTTTTTTCCTTAGGCTTACTTCGACCTTACTGCACTAAAAAGGCACAATTTTTCGCACCTGATAAAACATCGTTACGGTCTAGAACTAATTAATCCTTTTTCCACCAAAGTACTTGTTTCTCTGATGCCAATTTCGTGTTGCGCGTCTATTTTCCAGTATGCGTTTACGTTTATGCAGGAGCTTATTTTACAATGTCAAATGGGTGATAATGGTGGTACGACAAAACATGATCTGTATCTTTAATATTTTTTTTTCCGCGGTATCCTCGAATGCGCGATATATTACGTATATTAAACAGAGCGTGTGTATTTATAATGCACGTAATATATCCTCTTACAAACTAATTTGTAATAATGTTCTTTCCTATGTATATCTAGGGCCTATACAGACCTTACTAAGGCGAAACTACGCGGGCCTTTGTACAGTCGTTTGGAAAACTATGGGAAGTCTTTAAGAGGAAGAAATTATTCAATCAATATACAGCGTTTTCTGGAGTTACTGCAGCTTGTCCAAATTGATTGGAGATAACCAAATTGCAATTACAATACTATTTCAGTTTCTGCGAAAACTTTGTTACTCGAAATGAATGTTATCTGTTCGTCGTAATTTTATGTAGTCGCGTTGTTATTGCAATTCGTCCAATTTCATTGGAAGTGGCCAAACTGCAATCACATTTTTAGTTGGTTTCTTTTTGATTGTTTTTCTTTTTTTTTCTAGCAAAAACCTTTGCTATAAAAGGAAACGCTTCTTCTTATAAAAATCTTAGTTGAAATTATGTACAATCGAATGACACCATTTGCATAGCTTTCATTGTCGAATACACAACGAAAAGAAAGAAACAAGTGTATATAAAGTATCGGCCGAACATTGGAAAATTCATTTTGTTAAAATTAAAAAATAAAGTACCGAAAGAAATGCAAATCCTGTAAAAAATACTATAATTAAGGATTAATGTTCAATAAAATCTATATTTATCTAAACATGGTTTTTCTTTTTCTTTTTTTTCTTTTACTTAATAAACATATAACGGCATTGCTCGTTGAACAGGTTTTTTTTTTGTTTCATCGATTAAAAGCACTTGCTCGGTTAACTTAAGCGGAAGAAACCGCTTCAGCAACTTCAATAAACTAACACCGAATATCGCCTTATTGTGGTTTTCTTCTTATAGAATGCTGGTCCTCTTAAATAAAATTAGTTGCGGCACTTGTTCGAAGTTAGCACGTTCTTTTTTATTCAGAATATCCTTGTTTCAGTCTATCACTCGAGCGCCTTAACTTGCGCCATAACTTTACCCTCCCATAACGGTAAGACCTCAGAATCATCGGTTATTTCTTCTTGAACAACCTTTGTATCTAAGTCCTCGCACTCGGTTTTAAAGAAATATCTAAAACAAACATAAACATATATAAAAGTATAATATTTAAAGACGTAAAATTTTACGTGTTTTATGAATAATATTATTTATACACATACCGATAGCTGCCTTTCTTAGGAAGATATTCTTTAAATTGTTTTAAAGTGACATTATGACCAGGAATTTTAGTCCTATAAGGAAACTGTTCGTCACAGAAACTGAACACAACGGTGGTAAAATGGCGTTGTTGACAACTCGATAATCTTCTTATTGCTTCTTCTAATTGTGTTGTCTAGTAATAAAAAAGATGTATTTTTAGATTTCTGATAAATAGAATCAATTTAAATTATTATTTTTTATATCGATTTATACATACATGAATTATTCTTTAAAAAAGAACATAAAATTAAATAAAGATATTTACTGTATGCGTTTGAGCAGAAACACCCCGTGTTTCCCTGATTGTCTCTTCCAAAGAGCCACTGCGAGAACCATTCTTTTTCCCATGACGGCTATGTTTGATATCCGTTTTTTTGTCAGTTTCTTGGAGCCTTCTTGGAGATAAAAGACGACTGTCTTTGCTAATTGTTGACGGTGGCGCGTCACTTACAACACTAACGCCACTGTCAGTTAATTCCGTCGTAGACTTATTTGTGGCTGATCTTCTGGTCATATCTGACATTCGGAATCTTTGATCATGACCTGTAAAAATATGCATTTCAATAAAATTACATAAATATACGTACGTATAGATTCAGTACAATATTAATATATATTTTTATTAACTCTACCTTGAAGATACGGGTCTTGTTTATGGAGGGAATCAGATGGCACGGATTTAGATTTAGGCAAGTGAGATCCTAGTGAACTCATGGAGCCAGCTCCGACAAAATCGCTGCCTTCTTGAAAATCGTGAATATTACCGCTATCTATCGAAAATGTAGAGCTTCCAGGAGGTGTCGACCAAACTCGTGACACGTGTTGGTCCAAAATTGTTTGAGGAGAGAGAAGAAGAAGCTCTTCTATCGGTGCATCTGTTAGCGTTTTTGAAGCTCCACCTGACATCTCTAATGGTGCATCCTTGTTTATCGTGTCGCTATCTTGCAAATGCCTATCAAGCTTTTCCTGAGATTCTCGTTCACGTTTAACCTTCTCCAATTTCTCAATAAGCACTTGAGCAAATTCTTCCGGTTTCAGAGGATGCATAAGATCACGCGGTACTCGCTGTGTACGAGGGATGATAGTATGATGCGCCAGCGGATCACGATTTAAACTAGCTGGATCGGTAATAGCTCTACACTGTCTTGTATATTGTTTTTTACTTCGTTGTTTAGTCATTGACGCTCCATCACTGCAAATAAGAAATGCAAAAGGATTGAAAACATACACCTATATATGTTAATTGAATAATGAAACAAACATGTTCTTTTATATGTATTTTTATTTTAAGAATTTAAAGTAACAATTATCATAACAGATTTACATTCAAGCATTAAATTGTTATGTTTGTTAATTCATTGCATAAAAAATTCTAAAACATACTATAAAAAAATGTTCTTAGTAATATTTGAATATCAAACCATTTAATTGTTTTGACAAAACTCTATAACATAAGCATATGAAATTATATACATAAATTTGTATAATGAAGAATAAAAGGACTAGTTAAACATGAAAAAAATGTCAAATAATGGCTAGCACTTTTTGCTGAAACCTTGTAAATATTTGAAACATTTAATTACATAGGAAATTACGATTTTTATAGAAAATATGGATTTAATTTTCATATATTAAATAAAATAAGAAAAACTTACACTGATGAATCGGTGAGAGACATATTGTCTGATTCAGTTCGTGCATCACTGCTCAAGCTTTGAAGTTCTGAATCCTGTCTGGATACTGGGTTGTATGAGGAATATTGTGCGTGCAGTCTGGGTGCGAGCATATGATATGGACTAGTTCCATGTTGCAAGTATACGCTACGAGCGCCACGCAAAACATCAAACCAAAAGGAAGAAAAATAAAAGTTTGGAAAATGTTTTGGTAAAAATATCACAAATTTTATTACATAAAAACAAATAAACACACTGATGTAATATATGTTTTTTCAGAATGTGATATTTTTTAGTTATTTTGTACACTTTAGGAATGGTATATATGTATACGAAACACTACAAAACATTGCAAAAAATCCACACAACAAGCTTAAAAAAAGAAAAAAAGGAAAACACCAGCTAAATGAAGCGTTTAATGCAAAACTTTAAGCATTCTAAATAATGAATATTCTAAGTAAAAGTTATAATTGTATACAAAATATATATTACCCAGCATATGCTTCTGGCTTTGGTCGAAGATCCATCGCCCTAGTTTGTTGAGTAGCCATAAGCACACTGTTGGTCAATCTCAGCTTACCCCTCAATTCCCCAGGCGTTTCACTAGCTGAATGTGAGCTATGTATGGAACTAACATATTCACTGTCTTCATGGACAGTGGGCAGTAAACTTGGCCCACAAGAAACAGACATCTCTCGACTGGATCCCGAATTAGGACATCCACCAGAATCTGGGTTTTGGCAGGACCGAACGTAGTCAAGATACATAGTGGATTGAAGAAAGTTTGGATATGTAGTCTCATTAATGAGACGTTCAACTGCCAACTGTACAGCGTCAAACACTTTTTCGTCCGCCCGCCCTTCTTTAACCCGACGATTAGCTTCCCTTCGTACATCTTCTGGTATAGCTAACTGCGAGTTGCAGACGAACTTTTTATAGATAAGTTTAACCAATTGATGTATCCTCTCGGGGTCAGTTTGTTCCTTGAGACCCTCACAGGCGAACCAGAAATTAAGAGGATTTGCAATGCCTTCTTGATCCAGGTATTTTCTGAACAATTCCAAGCCCACTGGATCCTGCAGCAAGGAATGCAGGTTCCTGGCCCACCGCAAGCAAGCAGGTGGCGAATCACTTTCCATAGTTGTCGTACTACAGCAACCTTCCGGTTCAAATCCCAAAGGTGCCGAAGCATCGCAACCTGAAGCTGTTGGTGTTGCAAGAGAAGAAGGCCTAGGGGTCAGAGTTTGACTCTGTGGACGGAACCTGCTGACGTAGTTTCCTGTTTCCTCTCCTACAATCAAGTTTTGACAACAATTTATCTTAATGTTTGACATATCACATAACAAATCAATAACCTATAAAATGTCACATGATGTCCTTATAATTTTAAATAAATCTAACTACAAGATTAAATACAATCTTAATACATTTTTATTCTTTTTGTTGGTTTTAATAATATGGTAAAAGAGTTTAAACCTAATAATTTACAAATATTTGTATCATATGTATAACATCTTACCAGGCACTGGTGGCCGTGGAGAGTTTTCATTGAAGCAACGTGCTTCGTTCTGTCGAGATCCACTCATCCTATCTATTATGGCCTTCACGTATTATTTTACGTTCTATATTTAATTTAGGCCCACGACGCCTCTTAGTAGACATGGTTAATCCAAATCTAAGACAGAAATAATTATTTTTTACAATTTTTATAATAAAATGTTATTGATCTGAGCAGATATACTTTTTTTAAAACATCTACAATAAAACTAATATGTTTAAATATAATTATATGTAACTTTTGTAACTATCTTATATTATCTATTGTAAAATTTAAAAAATTATTTGAAATATGCTATTAAACAAAATTCTATAATTTTTGCATTTTAGTTTTTATATTGTTTATAGCAAATGCTATGTATTTTTGGGGTGTAATAATATACAAGGGGGGAAGCATTCTGAATTCAGAATATTCAAACAAAAGACCCAAGCTAGGGATGCTGGATCGATCGAGCCCTGTGGTGAGTCATGTACCAATTAAGCACCTAAGGATGGTTTTCCAATCCCGAAGAACTCTAAGGGCGGAGCCTGACAGAAAAACTGTAGGGTAGCTCCTGGCAGTCTGCGCATTGAAAGATACCTCTCTATATATCCCTATTGGTCCGCGCAGAGCATTTGTGTGGTATTGATCGACAAAAATTATAACGCAATCCATTGAACACTACAGTCAAACCCAAGTACAGCTCAATTTCTAGAATAAAACTCACTGAAAAGTAGAATTTTATTTTGACAGGATGGATAGATATTAATAGATCTATAGGGTAGGGTATCCTATACAAAGAGAAGACTATTATATCCCTAAGGTTCAGCCTTTTGTTGCGATGAGCTATAGAAATATGATTTCATAAGGTTCCCATTACAACCACTTCAGTATTAACCCACATTTACATGAAAAATAAAGTATAATGTTACAAAACAAAGATTTAGCTTTGGCAATAATATTAAAGACATTTAGTGATACTATGCAATATCAAAATGATGTTAATATGAAATTTTTAATATCATATGCATTGAATTTTGTTACAAATTATTTGATATACAAATATTTTCAGCATAAGAATAATAATTTTAATTCATTTACTTCAAACTTGAATCTCAATTTAAAACATGCATAAATTTGCTCTTTCTTAATTCTCAACATTAATGCATATTCAGACAAAAATATTTGTACTCTCATGTATTTTTTACATAACTAAAATATGAATAAGTGCTTCTACTAAACTTTTTATATTATATAGCTGAAATGCAAGGATGTCATGCATAGTTAAAAAAAAAAAAAAAAACACTGTATGTACAAGATAGAAATGCATATAATGCATGTAAATAGATTTATGATATATAAAAGCTCTACATAACCATAGAAACCTGATCTCTACCTGAGCAAGAGGGAAAATATGAAATGAAAAGCTGTCATAATGAATCATCTCAATTCAGTGCACATTTACCTGCGTTAAGGGATGAAAAGGAATGTACATACCATTTTGCCAGCGCTTTTCTAGAAGTGACCTTGAAATCTATATAACCGTATAAAATCTATTATAAGCTGTACAATTTTATTGACCTCAACCACAAGTGCCTTCTAACTTCTTTTGTTATAGAACAAAATGAACATACGATACCACTGTCAACGCGTCTCTAGGCAAACTGAGCTAAGGCTGCGTCCTGACCAGGACTGACGCCACAGTCAGGAAGGGTGGAGTAGGGATACAATGTCTGATCTTGTCAGATTGTGAAATGTATGGTTCTGACATATCTATTCCAAAAAAATATAGGTAATTCTAACGAAGAGTAGCACTAATATAGAAAAAATACTCTTTATGATTAAAAGCACTGTGTTCTTTCAAATAAATATAAATTTGCATGTTCTTAGCATTTGAACTATTTCATTCAACATCTATTAACTATTAGATATATGAAGCAATATCACAAACTGACAACAATGATTTTTATGTTTTTATATATCCTTTAAAATGTTTACATTTTTAAATTTACATTTAAAATTAAATATTTCACATTACATATAAAAATGGAAAGCAAAAATTAACTCAAGAAGTGTTACATTGTGTTTTATGAAATTTAGTATTCTACTTCAAAAAATTATAATTACTTGAATATTTTTAATTGTCTATTTAATAAAAACATTTCATTCTTTAAGTTTAAAAGGTTAAAAAATCATGCAAACATTCCATTTTCTTCATCTATTAATTATAAAAAAATAGTGTAATATTATCTCAAAAAATATTTAAATGTTTTTGTTAATTGATTTAAAGAATAATTATCACAAGAACTATTATACCTATTAATTGAAATCATACTTTAATATATTAAAGTTCTACGAATTAATACAACACTGCACAGCTAAAGAAGGCACTAAGTTACAACCACCTGTAACTGAAGGTGCAGTTTCACTGGAAAAACCGTTATAACTTATTTGTAATTTTTGTTTCCTCTACACTAATAGATGGCAGTAAATACAGTTTATCATAATATACATAATACAAATTGTTCTTAATAAACTTTTTCAGAAATTTAAACTTAAAATGCTTTTATGCACATATGAAATTTTATATGATTCGAGAAAAATTACTTCTTTAAAATTTCAAATATATTATCAGTATTAAAAAAATTATCACGTAATTAATGCAAATATTTATTTGTTGATTTTTAATTTCAAATTGATTCTTGTATTTATTTTTGGATAGATTTAAAAGGGCATCGATTTAAGGCTAATACTTATTACGTGTAACATTACCAACAAACCACAAATTTGTACGACACTAGTAATTTTCAGTTTACGATCCTTGGTACTATATTCCCGCCAATAACTAGGTTCATCATCATCATATATCTTTTAATTTATGGCCTAATTATAGTGAAATTGTAACAAACCAATTATGGTTTATAATTAATACATTCATATCACAAAAACCTTTAAAGTAAAATTAATATTTTCGTTAAAGTTAAAATTGTGCAACTTTAAAAGTGGTAAATTTGAAGTGAGATCTTATTGTCAATGTGATGAAATCCGAGGTGAACCTGAAACTATTTGACCTTTTAAAGTGAAATACTTCTCCGTTAATCACTACACGAATATTTGAGATTAAATTCAAGGATGATTCACTATTCAATGTAGCGTACTTCATTAGAATCTTCAATTTTAATAATGACCGTAGTGTAAGAATAATCATTTCAGCCAGTGCATTATATACACTTCTTTAATATCTTCTTCATTTTCTACTTGCTTAATGATATCCGTCGTTATAATTATTCGAAACGTAGCACCGTGAGATATAATTATACGTTGAAAGAAATGCGTCGCGTGAAGAACTATTAGGGCTGTTGCCTATAACGTCGAAGATTTTTACGCGTGGTAAAAAGCTTCGTTGAATTTCAAATGAGAGCTAAATCTTTTCACGTGATTCTGATCAATATATTTTATGCACATCTCTCTGACTTTTCAATATCATTTAAGCATGGAGACTATTGTTTCAGTATTTCAATGGAATTGAAGATTTTAGCACTTGAAATATGTGAAGCATTCACTTTTCATCTGTTTCATTATCTTTTATCGATCAAAATCGAACTAATGTTTAATTATGCTATTGTTTCAATTGTAGGATATTTCAATGTTACCATTGAAATTTTGAAATTATTTATGTTTAATTATCAATACTATATTTATTTTCTTTCCATATCTTATTTTCCTTAAAAAATAGTTAAAAAAAAGAATGATTGCAGATAAAGTTATTGCATATATATATTTGATTAAAATTTGCGATTTTGTTTTTCATAACCGAATTCCCTATAGGTGAAAGTCGTCGGCTAACCCCACAGAATGTAGGAAAGCCATCTGGACACGATAGGAACAAGATTCATCTCCGAGTGTCATGGTATATGCTCTTTTCGCTTGGTCGGTAAATGTTAGGATCGGCGTTACCCCGCATACCAAACTGTTTGATATCGACGACCAAATGCTACGGGGATCTATAAAAGAATGTATTCGAAGATATTGAAATTTTCTCGAGCATATAAAAATGTATCAACCGTATGGAATTTAAATCCTGTTTCTCACTCGTATTGCTTTTTATTCGTCCGTAAACATTTCTCGGTTTTCTTACGAATGCTGAAATATTAAAACTCACAATACCGTGATTTTTGCAGCGGTATTGCAATGATCTCATTCCACGTGCTCTATATTTTCTTCTTTTGCACAAATTTAATATAACTTGCAAATATTTTTATTTCAGATAAAACATGAGAATAATATTTATTACATTAATTAAACGTCTCAATGAAAAACGATACGTGTGTCGTTTTGCATTAAAAAGATAGTCATTCGGTTATAAATACTTATAATTACAATTGCAATATACTTAAAATACAAATTACAATTGCAAAAGTTATTTAATTTTATTTGCAAAAATTGTAATGTACGTTTTTTAATTTACAAAATTAAGTACTACATAACCATAAATAGAATATTCCGCGTTTCTATAAATTTCCATATTACTATTAACTATCAATTTTTCAAGTTATCGATGATCAAAATTAAACACGCGCATATCGAATCGGAATACATCGCATTGCACAGTTTTTTACGCAGTTTACCGTGGCGTGTATACGCTTCAAACTTTTATCCAACTTCTACATACCGGGTGCTTTACACTGCCACACCTCTATCCAAATCGATCTAACTAAATATTATCCCGTCACGTTACAGATGAACACTGTATTTAAAATTGCACGAAAAAAATAACGCACTCATATATACTGATAGAATCGTAAAAATATTACAAATCCTCGTTAACTACGAGAAAAAAGAAAAAAAAAAAACAATAGCTAGATTGAACCAAAGAGGAAAAAGAAGGAAGCAATCCTCATAGCGAGGATTCTACTGAACGAATTAACATTTTCCGAAGGGGGCAATATTTTTCTCTCGCGGCGAAAAAGAGATCGAAGAAATGACAAGTATTTCGAAGTCACCGGTTAGATGACGAGGCGAGGGAAGGGCCCTAGCTCTCAAAGAGCGTGGTTCGCCGAGCGAGGCGTTCCGAAAACCTGTAATTACGGACCCGACGTACATCAAGCGGTGCCGCCAGCCGCCAGCCACCAGCCGGC